TTTCATTTTGACCCGCAAGGGAAGGATTTTTTACAGGACACAGGGGAAGGATGTGGGTTAAATAAACCATATATCACACATATATTAACAGGGCATCTTGCTTTATTATTATTTATGAATTTCTTAAATAATCAAACTTCAACAACATAAGGACAGATTCCTTGAGCGCAGCTGATAAAAACCCGCCACAGCAATTATCTGCTTGGAAATGGGAACCAATGTTTGGCCGGAACCAATGTTTACAGGACTGCGTTCTCTGGAATCCTCTCAAGCGAAGACTTCTACATTCCCATTGGTTGCCGCCAAACCGTGTCATAGCTCATTACCATAAAGTTGACCTGACTTCATCTCTCCTCGATACCCACATCGGCTCACATTGAAAATGAATGACTTCCGGCCCTTGAGCTTTCCAGTTCTTGCTAGCTGGCCTGTTACACTAGCATGGGCGTCCGTCACTCACACTGACCTCACCGGGCGCTTCTCAGTCCTCAGCATTAAACACAACACATGCTGAGCCGTGCCTGAATCCAGCTCTTCCAGCGGGCCTGAGCCATCACACAGGTCAAACGCACTCTGGGGGTCGCGGTTCAGATCATCTAATGTGAGTAGGACACAGAGGACGACTCCCGTTCACCTCAGCAGCCCGAGATCCTGTTTCCTAATGCGCAAGTCTTCCAGTGTCCCGCTCTACGACGGCATTCCTCCTCTGCGTCCTTATGCACGTTGGTTGCAGTACGTAACTGTCTCTACGATACAGATTATCAGGGCCTGAAATTAACACCCGACCACCTGCCAAATGCGGGTGAATTTTGCTATTGGCGGGTAACACTGTCAATCTACCTGCCACATTGGCAGGTAGCCAATGAGAATTGAGTGATTCATTAGGTTTTTTTTTTTACGTTTTCATTTTCATTGCGTTGGACCTTAGCTATAATGTGGCGGCACATTACTGGGGTAAAAAGGCCAGCTGAAACAAACAACCAACAAAAAGATGAGGATGAGTCAAAGAAAAGTAAAAGAAGACATTTTAATACAAAGTGGTCAATTGGCGACAACGGCAAGGTTCGTGAGCGGCTGATTTATGACAGCGACTGTTGTTTCATAACGTTCATGCGATCAGAAAGAAGATGAGGCCCTTTTCTGACTACGTTTGGATGTGCGAGTAGTAAACTGTTGGTGAGATGGGATGAGATAATCTAACGCTGACGTAGGCTCCAGAACAATGACAGTTGCACAGATGTGTGCGTGTGCAACTGTAGTAGATGTTGGGAGTTGGGAACCGGTGAGAAAATGTCCGGTACCCGGTAACTTTACCAGTAATAATATTAATTTAGTTCTGCTTAACGGTTCCTGAACGCTGTAACTAAAAGCTGTCAGGACCTAGCTGTCTACGTGACTAAATCAGCCATCAACACAGCCGCGGGTGATTTGTTTGCATACGAGCTGCGGTAGGTCTATAGATCTGTTGTGCGTGTGTGTGTCAAAATCAATGAATAAAAAGATTTTTTAAAAATGTATATTCTAAGTTATTATTACTTATATTGATTTCGTTAATAACTTGACAGCAGTTAAATGTGTACAAGTTAAAGAACAATATTGTGAAATTCCCGTTTTTCACCTATAGGCTATGAGGCAAAAAAAAAAAAAAAAAAAAAAAGGCTGGTAAAAAGTCTCTGTGGCAGGTGAATTTTGATATCCACCTGCCACAGTGGCTGGTGGCCAAAAAAGTTAACTTCAGGCCCTGAGATTATCCTTGGTACAAATCTCAGCCATCTGAGGACTTCTTTTTCATGATGATATAGGAACAGAACCACTGTCTGCCTGAAAAGCAGGTTATTAGACTTAAAGGGATAGTTCACCCAAAAATGAAACTTCTGTCAGTAATTACTCTCCCTCATGTTCAATCAATCCAGCAATTTACTTATAAAGCACAATTATACACAACTTCTGTTGACCAATGTGCTGTACAGAGTAAAAAGAAAAAACAATAACAGAATAAAATCAACCAGGACAAACAGAATAACTGCATTAACATTCATATTTTGTAAGACAGGTTTTTAACCTAGTTTTAAAAGCGGACAGAGTGGGCACCGTTATTATTTCAGTAGGCAGATTGTTCCAAAGTCTCGGAGCAGCGATGGAAAATGCTGGATCTCCTCTAGACTTAAGCCTGGATCTAGAAGCCACTAAGAGACCCAAGTTTGCCAGACCTCTAACCCCTTATTTACACTACACACGTCTGCGGCGCGTTACGGCTGTGACGCGGCTACCGGAGCTGATCGCGGCCACTCTAGTCAAGATTCGCCTTCCCTTCTCCTCTGTACAGATAATCGTTGTCGGGATAGTTCCGGTTCGCGTGGCTACGCCGAGGCGATAAAATTCTGTATTACAAATTTTTAGGGCCAGACAAGTAGTTTGTTGAGGGTTGGTTTTTTAGGGAAGGACTACATGCCGGCACACATATATTCAAGCGTGCATCCCTATAGAATGAGCTCTTAATGCGCATGTGCACGCTATCAGCGTTCTCACAGGCTCGCGCTTTTAAAGTTTGCGTAGAGAGAACTTAAGAGTTTTCCGTTAGAGCGGTGTCGTGTTAGCGGCCCCTACGTTAATAACTAATGATCGTTGCGATGGAAGTGAATCAATTAAAACTAACTTTAGCTGGAAAATAACTTTATTCTAGAGCTGCCATAAAGCCAAAACAATCTGTGTTACTTTAAATTCATATTATCACTGTAAAGCAGCTTTGGAACAATCTACATTGTTAAAAGCGCTATATAAATGAAGATGACTTGACTAGCGAGCAGCAGTTTCGGCGCGAGTTTTTAATGTTTGCTGTCTTGTAAACATCGAAATATGACTGAAAAGAAAAGATTAAGCGAATTACAATAATCCAGTCTTGTGGTGATAAAACCATGTGTTACTTTTTCAAAATTTGAGAATGAAAGTAAAGGCTTCATTTTTACCAGGGTTCGTAGCTGGTAAAAGCTTGCCTTCACAACTTGGTTGACCTGTCTATCAAGCTTTATGGACTATCCAATACCATACCCAAGTTCTTGACATATGGATTATCCTAAGGTTTACTCTCATTCAGACATAGAATAGAAAATTCAGAGCTTTAATCCACAAGGCAAGCAGCCATGAGCCATCTGTTCTAGACTATTTTTATATTTATGAGGAAGATATATTTGTGTGTCGTCTGCATGATAGTCATATTTTCTAAAAATAGTACAAAGAGGAAGCATGTATAGAGAAACCAATGTAAGGCTGAACCTCTGATGTGTGTTTTAACCGCGAGAACATTATGGTCTACCGTGTCGAATGCAGCACTCAAGTCCAGGAGTCTCTGGAGTCATGGCTAAACAGATCATTAAACACTTTTACAAGAGCCGTTTCAGTGGAGGGACTTGTTCTGTTTAATATAATTGTAAATATATCTATTAAAACACTGATATTCTGGCCGATAACTCCTCCCCACTTCCCGCTGGCCTGTATCTTGCTCTCTCATTGGCTGTAGGTCTTCGCCGATGTGATTTTCAGTCAGAACATGCAAATTGATCCCCATTCACACAGATCCGCAAAAAATGACTAATAACCCGTTTTCAAGTTTGCGTTCTCAGGCACCCAAAACGCCAATGTCGTGTAAACGAACGGCCAAAACGATAAAAAGTTGTGATTGGTCGAGTGTGTTTGGGAAATGCCCCGCCCCTTTCCATAACCGCCAGGTTAACACACTACTAACTAACTCAACCAGGCCCCGCCCCTTTATTCTGCGCATTAATTATTATAATGAGGAATATTGTGACGTGTTCGTTCCCGGAAGAAACTCGAGATACAATGGAGGCGTTTCAGGAGTTCAGGAACACTGACCACCTAACATGTTCTACTTTGTCAATAATTCATTACACTCAGATGTACATCACAATACAGGAGATAAAAACCACAGGACGCCACGCCATAGTTTCAGCATTTCATGTTTTAATTTTGCATGTTTAATTCTTCATTCCAGCTGCACTCCAAAATCTACAATATTCAGAAAACGTGCACAAAAAGGTTTTAGGTTTTCCTTCCTCCTGCGAGAAAAAAAACAAAATAGAAAAAAATAAAATAAAATAGAAAACATAACTATTACTCGAGCAGAGTAGAGAGGAAACTAGTGTTAAATCTAGAAAGTTCCTTCTAGTCATGTAATTGATCAGTAACTCAGTCGCATCATCATATAAAGGTCAATTGGGAATCCTCCAGTCTGGGCTCCAAACCACAGGGTTAAAAAAAATATTCTCTCTAAAAGAAATATTTTCAACTCATTATTATAGCAGTAAATGTCATGTGTGCAGAAACTGCAGCATCTCCCAACCCTCCCTCGAACAAAACCTCCAACTTCAGGATAAAGAAGAAAAAAAACACAAATATTGAGGAATGACAAATATTCAATGTCCAAAAAAAAAAAAAAAAAAAAAAAAGCGAAGTCACCTGAAACCTGATGCAGAACACCGAGCGCATCCTCTGACACTCACGTCTAGGATTTTAAAATCTGTAACTTCCTAGAGTTAAATTAAAATAAATAAATGTCCGATACAGGGAAAAACGGTCAATCTATCATTTTGTAGTTGCTCTCTTTTTTATTTTTTCTGTTTTTATAAGAAAAATCTGAGATAACAAAAACATATTAATGCGTTTTTTCAGATTTTTCCCACTTTCTCCACTGTCGCTTCCGTATGGTAATGTTCAACTGACAAAAATACGCAAAGAAAAGAGACATTAAAAACTGTACGCAAAGGGATTTTTAAAAACATTTTCATGAAATAAATAAATAAAACACTTGTGTGTGTGTATATATCCATGAAGCATAGCTGGGGTGGGTGAAAGGAAAGGATGGGTCGAAAATACTTGGTTTCCTTTTGCACTTAGAGAGCGTAAATGTGATGGAGGAGGAGAGAAGGGTCAGAGCGAGAGAGAGAGAGAGAGAGCGAGAGAGAGAACGAGAGATAAGAGGAGAGAGAGAGAGAGAGAGAGAGAGAGAGAGAGAGAGAGAGAGAGAGAGAGAGAGAGAGAGCATCAGTTCGCAGCCATCCCTGTCGCCTCGGACGAGAGTCTGCAAGAGCGAGAGAACAGAAGTCAATCACGTGTCAGATGACCTCACCAGCCGCGTTTACATTACAGATTCACACTACACTTTTGCCATATTTTCTAAATGTCGATAAAAACCATTGAGGAATGACGGCGTTTCCATTAACCGATGATATGAGACTAAAACGTAATGTTTTTCTGACACGATCAGTCATTCCAAACATCATGGCGGCGGATATTAGCAGGTTTATGTAAATCTCAGCCGCCGCAAGAGACATTATTAATTATACCATGGTCTGGGTGAATACTGGATTCTGATTGGCTGCAGGGTGTCCATTAAAAAGTGATAGAGGACACCTAGTAAAGGAGTTCTGGTGAAACTGACTGTTTACCGTTCGAAATTATTAAATAACTGCGCTGGCTACATCAGCTGTGAGTAACCATAGCAACAGGCAGTCAACGTATCCGTTTACAGTTTAGCTAAACTGAAGGGTTCTCCGAGCTGAGCGCACTATAAATATCTCCGGTTGCTAAATAAACCGTCAGGCGTAACCAGGGAAACCAAGTTATTGTTTGTAAAAACTTTAGATTTCGATTGTAAAACTAATTAAAATATAAACTAATGTTTTAAAAATGTGTTATTTTTAAAATGTTTAATTGTCGGGTATTAATGGACTTCGGCGGAGTGAACCATCTGACGCGCACGCCTCACCGGCGTCCATTAATACCTGACAATGGACACCTCGAAGGGCATTAACCCTTACTTAAATGCTGGATAAGTCTCCTATGACTCAGGGAAAGACCTTATACTGAGAGCGCTCATGAGGAGATTCTGGGAGTTCTCCCTCAGTTCTGCTTCAGGGTCTTGATAAATTGTGGCATTTCTTTGTTGTCTAGCCCTCAGGTGCTCTTCATTTCGGAGTCACACTCGTTATCTTCCCGGACACCTAAAAATGAAACTTTCTCCATCCCAGTAAAACCAATGCAATTTATTTTTGTTCAATAATATTTTTTCTTTTTAATTTTGTATTTGAGAATTTGATGTTACTTAATAATATTTATGCAATATTTATGCTCCATATTTGCCATTGAAAACACAAAAAAAACAAATTCCTATTTTTTAAAAATATTTTTTTCAATTATTGCAGTATTTCAGATTAATACAGGGACCAGACCTTTTAAATCCAATTTTTGAAGTCAGATTAGCGCCATCTGTTGAGAGAAAATAAAATAAAACATGTAATTTCATGGTGTAACCACTAGATGCCTGTATAGCTGTCTATGGAGGCTTGTGAATTCTCTAGTTGTTTTTGGACAAAATTACTTACTTTTAAGATGTGGATTTGTTTATTTTTTTTTAAATTCTCAAATAATACTTTTTGCCATGGTTTATAAAAAATAAAAATAAATTTGATGTGAAGTGTACACGTTTTTGCATTATTACTACAGTCAAACCTGAATACAGAGAAAGCATTGTTACAGGCAACATTACAATTCAATAAAAAAAATAAAAAGTAATGCTTTTTCACAGCTTATTTATATTATTGTTATTATTAAACATTTAATTTATTATTTTAAAAAATTAAATTCATTATTTTAATAATTATAATATATATATATATATGTATTACTTAATTATGTTATGTTTTTCACCATCGATGTTTTTCTCTGTATTGTGGGCGATTTGTAGAGAATTTGTGTTTGTCAATTTCCCATTCATTTCCTATGGTCGGTCAAAATTCATTAGTGTGGGTGAGTGTGTCTGTTTTGCACTCTTGGTGTTTTAGAGTGTCACCCCTTCATTGTTGAGCACTTTTTCTGCATCGTGGCCGATTTGTAGATTGTACTGACAAAAATACTCTGAAATGTTGTGTTTTTGTCAATTTCCCATTCATTTCCTATGGTCGGTCATTTTTGACCGAAGAGCACAAGTGTGACTTTTTTACGACCACTTAGCCTGCTCGGATCATGACCTCAATTTTTTTGTGTGTTCACATACCCAATGCCATAGAAGTTTCGTAACATTCCGATGAAGCTGTGATTTTTAACATTTCGAAACCGAAATTTTTACGGTCAGGACCGAAGAGCACCTGAGGGCTAGAATAGAGTATTTCTGTAATGCTTTTGTCTGTTATGAGTTTAATAAGGAACTCTGTCTCGTCTTCTGTCCAAACACACCGCGCCATCTTTAAAGACCGATCACTGTTACGTACGTCAGGTGACTGTAAATGCGGGAACACTGTTTCTATTGCAGTTTTGCGAAATATTCCTTTTTCGAATGGCCTGACACCCCCTCATGCGCGTATAAACACTGTTTTGGGGTATATGGGAGTTTTTGGCAAATTGACGTGTTTCCATTGGGCGTATTTTCAACGTGTGCAGTTTGAAGGGTAATGTAGACGCGGCCTCCATGCTGAGCAGGGTACAGCGGGCGGTGTGGTGATGCGTTACCGTGCGTTGATCAGGTACTCGGCCAGGCTGATGCTGGCGGGCGAGCCGGTGATGGTCACCTGACGGTCCGTCGAGCCCTCCACCGGGTTGGCGATCTTGATCTGTGCCCCGGACATCTGGCGGATCTCGTTGATCTTGGCACCTTGGCGGCCGATGATGCAGCCAATCAACTGTCACGATTAACCAACACATTAAAACTAACCATTCACAAAGCAGTGCTTGATGATGCGTACTCATGTCTTGCACCACTTGAGTCGTGTCTAGGGTTGGGAATCGGACACTTATCGAGTAATTTGTGTGTATTTCAAGATGACTTTAACCTATTCGAGCGAGAGAGTGTTGTTAAAGTGACAGCGCTCATATTCCTGCCGTCTCTATAATCACACAACAGAAGACTGAGAACACACACTCGCTCTTCACTGAATATCTTTTGTAACTATATTAATGTATATGATATTTATAAAGTACAGTGTTATTTTACATTTGATTAGTTTCTGAACCTGAAAATATTAATTAAATTTAAAATGATACCCAACCCTAGACGTGTCCTCCGCCATCTTTCAGATGTGTGTGTCAACACACACACACTTAGAAGATGAAGCGTCAGTGAACTCACATCGTTTGGAATGGTCAGTTCGTGAGAGCCTGTCTGCGCAGACGCGTCCATACCAGCTGCAGGAGAGAAACACACACTCAGTGACCGGCTCACACGCAGCGTGTGTATGTGTGTGTGTGTACCTGTGAAGCCCTGGCTGCTGGGGGCCAGAGGAGGTGTGTGTGTGTGTGTGTGCACCTGTGAAGCCCTGGCTGCTGGGGGCCAGAGGAGGTGTGTGTGTGTGTGTGTGTGTGTGTGTGTGTGTGTGTGTGCACCTGTGAAGCCCTGGCTGCTGGGGGCCAGAGGAGGTGTGTGTGTGTGTGTGTGTGTGTGTGTGTGTGTGCACCTGTGAAGCCCTGGCTGCTGGGGGCCAGAGGAGGTGTGTGTGTGTGTGTGTGTGTGTGTGTGTGTGTGTGTGTGTGTGTGTGTGTGTGTGTGTGTGCACGCACCTGTGAAGCCCTGGCTGCTGGGGGCCAGAGGAGGTGGAGGTGTGTGTGTGTGTGTGTGTGTGTGTGTGAAGCCCTGGCTGCTGGGGGCCAGAGGAGGTGGAGGTGTGTGTGTGTGTGTGTGTGTGTGTGTGTGTGTGTGTGTGTGTGTGTGTGTGTGTGTGTGAAGCCCTGGCTGCTGGGGGCCAGAGGAGGTGGAGGTGTGTGTGTGTGTGTGTGTGTGTGTGTGTGTGTGTGTGTGTGTGTGTGTGTGTGTGTGTGTGTGTGTGTGCACGCACCTGTGAAGCCCTGGCTGCTGGGGGCCAGAGGAGGTGGAGGTGTGTGTGTGTGTGTGTGTCTGTGTGTGTGTGTGTGTGTGTGTGTGCACGCACCTGTGAAGCCCTGGCTGCTGGGGGCCAGAGGAGGTGGAGGTGTGTGTGTGTGTGTGTGTGTGTGTGTGCACCTGTGAAGCCCTGGCTGCTGGGGGCCAGAGGAGGTGTGTGTGTGTGTGTGTGTGTGTGTGTGTGTGTGCACCTGTGAAGCCCTGGCTGCTGGGGGCCAGAGGAGGTGTGTGTGTGTGTGTGTGTGTGTGTGTGTGTGTGTGTGTGTGTGTGTGTGTGCACGCACCTGTGAAGCCCTGGCTGCTGGGGGCCAGAGGAGGTGGAGGTGTGTGTGTGTGTGTGTGTGTGTGTGTGAAGCCCTGGCTGCTGGGGGCCAGAGGAGGTGGAGGTGTGTGTGTGTGTGTGTGTGTGTGTGTGTGTGTGTGTGTGTGTGTGTGTGTGTGTGTGTGTGTGTGTGTGTGTGTGTGTGTGTGTGCACGCACCTGTGAAGCCCTGGCTGCTGGGGGCCAGAGGAGGTGGAGGTGTGTGTGTGTGTGTGTGTCTGTGTGTGTGTGTGTGTGTGTGTGTGCACGCACCTGTGAAGCCCTGGCTGCTGGGGGACAGAGGAGGTGGAGGTGTGTGTGTGTGTGTGTGTGTGTGTGTGTGTGTGCACGCACCTGTGAAGCCCTGGCTGCTGGGGGCCAGAGGAGGTGTGTGTGTGTGTGTGTGTGTGTGTGTGTTTGCACGCACCTGTGAAGCCCTGGCTGCTGGGGGACAGAGGAGGTGGAGGTGTGTGTGTGTGTGTGTGTGTGTGTGTGTGTGTGTGTGTGTGTGTGTGTGTGTGTGTGTGTGTGTGTGTGTGTGTGTGTGTGCACGCACCTGTGAAGCCCTGGCTGCTGGGGGACAGAGGAGGTGGAGGTGTGTGTGTGTGTGTGTGTGTGTGTGTGTGTGTGTGTGTGCACCTGTGAAGCCCTGGCTGCTGGGGGACAGAGGAGGTGGAGGTGTGTGTGTGTGTGTGTGTGTGTGTGTGTGTGTGTGTGTGTGTGTGTGTGTGTGTGTGTGTGTGTGTGTGTGTGTGTGTGTGTGTGTGCACGCACCTGTGAAGCCCTGGCTGCTGGGGGCCAGAGGAGGTGTGTGTGTGTGTGTGTGTGCACGCACCTGTGAAGCCCTGGCTGCTGGGGGACAGAGGAGGTGGAGGTGTGTGTGTGTGTGTGTGTGTGTGTGTGTGTGCACCTGTGAAGCCCTGGCTGCTGGGGGACAGAGGAGGTGGAGGTGTGTGTGTGTGTGTGTGTGTGTGTGTGTGTGTGTGTGTGTGTGTGTGTGTGTGTGTGTGTGTGTGTGTGTGTGTGTGTGTGTGTGTGTGTGTGTGTGTGTGTGTGTGTGCACGCACCTGTGAAGCCCTGGCTGCTGGGGGACAGAGGAGGTGGAGGTGTGTGTGTGTGTGTGTGTGTGTGTGTGTGTGTGTGTGTGTGTGTGTGTGTGTGTGTGTGTGTGCACCTGTGAAGCCCTGGCTGCTGGGGGCCAGAGGGAACGGGCTCTGCTGCATGGCCAACTGGTGGAGTTTGGTGAGCTGTGAACACAGAGAACAGCATCACAACAGGCCCAACTCTGAGCAGAGGATTGTGGGAAAGCAAAGAGCGCCTCTTACATCAGGCTGAGGAATGGCATGTTGTCCCTGCACCGCGTATGCCTGCAAAACACAGGGTTCAGATCAAACACACACACACACACACACAAACAGAGATGCTCCTGTGACATGAAGACGCTCACCTGTCCTCCTGCAAAGATGACAGGCGATCCTGAGGGTTTGGGTCGGTACGGGATGGTCACGCCTTTGGGAGGCGACTGGGACGAGGAGAGGAACAGACATGGAAAATACAATAAAGAACGATCAAAAACATAGTTTCTGTGCATCGGTTGTTGATAAGATTCTGGGATGTGGGCGGGGCTTAAACACCACATGATGCGTTCGGCAGCAGACTGACACGTCCAGGGTTCGAGTTCACTTTTTATCCACCCGCCAATTTGGCTAATCAATTTTTAAATTACCGGCTATTCAGAACTTCTACTAGCCAAAAAAGAAATGAACCAGATTAACTACATCACAGCTTATATATTTATATATATACATAAACAAACACATTTTCTGATCACCAATTATTTTTTTAATGATTTATAATCTTCACTGTTGCTTCAGTGCAAATGAACAAGCGCTGTTATTAGTTGTGTAGTGACGTGTGTGTTCAAGTGAGCCAGATATGAGCAGATTCTGAGCAATACGCTGTATTTAATACATCATGATGATCAGCATTTCTGCTAAATCTGCACAGATTTGGTTTTACGAACTTTCCCAGCAAAGTGAGGAAACATAATAACACGCCAGATTGGCTCGTGATTTGACAGTTACTCGCCAGCGTTGATTTTACCCACATTTGGCGGGTGTTAACTTCAAACCCTGGACACGTCACTGGAAGACCCAGTTGTGACGTGTTGATTGAACATTGCGAGAGTGTGTGCGAGGAGTGTGTGTGCACAGATTCACCTCCAGCATGACCACACAGATCTGCTTGACACACTCGATGATGGACAGCGGGGTGCCGGCGATGGTGATGGCTCTCTCGGTGGAGTTAGGCAGCATGTCTCCAGCCACCTGTACCTGAGCTCCTGTCGACTGAACACACACACGTTGAATATTGATATTAGAAATTATTTTTAAAAAATTAAAAAAGATGCTTTAAATTAAAACCGCCAGTAGTGGCAGCGAGACACTGTTAATGGGAGAGTCACTTAGATTCAACCGATTCTAATATCCGATATTATGGGGTGTGTGTCTCGCCTCCCTGATCTCCTTGATCTTGTGGGTATGGTGATATTATGGGGTGTGGGTCTCGCCTCCCTGATCTTGTGGGTGTGGTGATATTATGGGGTGTGTGTCTCGACTCCCTGATCTCCTAGATCTTGTGGGTATGGTGATATTATGGGGTGTGTGTCTCGACTCCCTGATCTCCTAGATCTTGTGGGTGTGGTGATATTATGGGGTGTGTGTCTCGCCTCCCTGATCTCCCTGATCTTGTGGGTGTGGTGATATTATAGGGTGTGGGTCTCACCTCCCTGATCTTGTGGGTGTGGTGATATTATGGGGTGTGTGTCTCGCCTCCCTGATCTCCTTGATCTTGTGGGTATGGTGATATTAGGGGGAGTGTGTCTCGCCTCCCTGATCTTGTGGGTGTGGTGATATTATGGGGTGTGTCTCGCCTCCCTGATCTCCTAGATCTTGTGGGTATGGTGATATTATGGGGTGTGTGTCTCGCCTCCCTGATCTCCTAGATCTTGTGGGTATGGTGATATTATGGGGTGTGTGTCTCGCCTCCCTGATCTCCTTGATCTTGTGGGTGTGGTGATATTATGGGGTGTGGGTCTCGCCTCCCTGATCTTTTGGGTGTGGTGATATTATGGGGTGTGTGTCTCGCCTCCCCGATCTCCTTGATCCTGTGGGTATGGTGATATTATGGGGTGTGGGTCTCGCCTCCCTGATCTTGTGGGTGTGGTGATATTATAGGGTGTGTGTCACGCCTCCCTGATCTTGTGGGTGTGGTGATATTATGGGGTGTGTGTCTCGCCTCCCTGATCTTGTGGGTGTGGTGATATTATAGGGTGTGTGTCACGCCTCCCTGATCTCCTTGATCTTGTGGGTATGGTGATATTAGGGGGAGCGTGTCTCGCCTCCCTGATCTCCCTGGTGTTGTGATAATATGGGGTGTGGGTCTCACCTCCCTGACCTTGTGGGTGTGGTGATATTATGGGGTGTGTGTCTCGCCTCCCTGATCTTGTGGGTGTGGTGATATTATGGGGTGTGTCTCGCCTCCCTGATCTCCTAGATCTTGTGGGTATGGTGATATTATGGGGTGTGTGTCTCACCTCCCTGATCTCCTAGATCTTGTGGGTATGGTGATATTATGGGGTGTGTGTCTCGCCTCCCTGATCTCCTTGATCTTGTGGGTATGGTGATATTATGGGGTGTGTGTCTCGCCTCCCTGATCTCCTAGATCTTGTGGGTGTGGTGATATTATGGGGTGTGTGTCTCGCCTCCCTGATCTCCTTGATCTTGTGGGTGTGGTGATATTATGGGGTGTGGGTCTCGCCTCCCTGATCTTTTGGGTGTGGTGATATTATGGGGTGTGTGTCTCGCCTCCCTGATCTCCTTGATCCTGTGGGTATGGTGATATTATGGGGTGTGGGTCTCGCCTCCCTGATCTTGTGGGTGTGGTGATATTATAGGGTGTGTGTCACGCCTCCCTGATCTCCTTGATCTTGTGGGTATGGTGATATTAGGGGGAGCGTGTCTCGCCTCCCTGATCTCCCTGGTGTTGTGATATTATGGGGTGTGGGTCTCACCTCCCTGATCTTGTGGGTGTGGTGATATTATGGGGTGTGTGTCTCGCCTCCCTGATCTCCTTGATCTTGTGGGTGTGGTGATATTATGGGGTGTGGGTCTCGCCTCCCTGATCTTTTGGGTGTGGTGATATTATGGGGTGTGTGTCTCGCCTCCCTGATCTCCTTGATCCTGTGGGTATGGTGATATTATGGGGTGTGGGTCTCGCCTCCCTGATCTTTTGGGTGTGGTGATATTATGGGGTGTGTGTCTCGCCTCCCTGATCTCCTTGATCTTGTGGGTGTGGTGATATTATGGGGTGTGGGTCTCGCCTCCCTGATCTTGTGGGTGTGGTGATATTATGGGGTGTGTGTCTCGCCTCCCTGATCTCCTTGATCTTGTGGGTGTGGTGATATTATGGGGTGTGGGTCTCGCCTCCCTGATCTTTTGGGTGTGGTGATATTATGGTGTGTGTGTCTCGCCTCCCTGATCTCCTAGATCTTGTGGGTGTGGTGATATTATGGGGTGTGGGTCTCGCCTCCCTGATCTTTTGGGTGTGGTGATATTATGGGGTGTGTGTCTCGCCTCCCTGATCTTTTGGGTGTGGTGATATTATGGGGTGTGTGTCTCGCCTCCCTGATCTCCTAGATCTTGTGGGTGTGGTGATATTATGGGGTGTGGGTCTCGCCTCCCTGATCTTTTGGGTGTGGTGATATTATGGGGTGTGTCTCGCCTCCCTGATCTTTTGGGTGTGGTGATATTATGGGGTGTGGGTCTCGCCTCCCTGATCTTTTGGGTGTGGTGATATTATGGGGTGTGTGTCTCGCCTCCCTGATCTCCTTGATCTTGTGGGTGTGGTGATATTATGGGGTGTGTGTCTCGCCTCCCTGATCTCCTTGATCTTGTGGGTGTGGTGATATTATGGGGTGTGGGTCTCGCCTCCCTGATCTTTTGGGTGTGGTGATATTATGGGGTGTGTGTCTCGCCTCCCTGATCTCCTTGATCTTGTGGGTGTGGTGATATTATGGGGTGTGGGTCTCGCCTCCCTGATCTTTTGGGTGTGGTGATATTATGGGGTGTGTGTCTCGCCTCCCTGATCTCCTTGATCCTGTGGGTATGGTGATATTATGGGGTGTGGGTCTCGCCTCCCTGATCTTGTGGGTGTGGTGATATTATAGGGTGTGTGTCTCGCCTCCCTGATCTCCTTGATCTTGTGGGTGTGGTGATATTATGGGGTGTGGGTCTCGCCTCCCTGATCTTTTGGGTATGGTGATATTATGGGGTGTGTCTCGCCTCCCTGATCTCCTTGATCTTGTGGGTGTGGTGATATTATGGGGTGTGGGTCTCGCCTCCCTGATCTTTTGGGTGTGGTGATATTATGGGGTGTGTGTCTCGCCTCCCTGATCTCCTTGATCCTGTGGGTATGGTGATATTATGGGGTGTGGGTCTCGCCTCCCTGATCTTGTGGGTGTGGTGATATTATAGGGTGTGTGTCTCGCCTCCCTGATCTCCTTGATCTTGTGGGTATGGTGATATTAGGGGGAGCGTCTCTCGCCTCCCTGATCTCCCTGGTGTTGTGATATTATGGGGTGTGGGTCTCACCTCCCTGATCTTGTGGGTGTGGTGATATTATGGGGTATGGGTCTCGCCTCCCTGATCTTGTGGGTGTGGTGATATTATGGGGTGTGTCTCGCCTCCCTGATCTCCCTGGTGTTGTGATATTATGGGGTGTGGGTCTCACCTCCCTGATCTTGTGGGTGTGGTGATATTATGGGGTGTGGGTCTCGCCTCCCTGATCTTGTGGGTGTGATGATATTATGGGGTGTGTCTCGCCTCCCTGATCTCCTTGATCTTGTGGGTATGGTGATATTAGGGGGAGCATGTCTCGCCTCCCTGAACTCCCTGGTGTGGTGATATTAGGGGGAGCGTGTCTCGCCTCCCTGATCTTGTGGGTGTGGTGATATTAGGGGGAGCGTGTCTCGCCTTCCTGATCTTGTGGGTGTGGTGATATTATGGGGTGTGTCTCGCCTCCCTGATCTCCTTGATCTTGTGGGTGTGGTGATATTATGGGGTGTGTGTCTCGCCTCCCTGATCTTGTGGGTGTGGTGATATTATGGGGTGTGTGTCTCGCCTCCTTGATCTTGTGGGTGTGGTGATATTAGGGGGAGCGTGTCTCGCCTCCCTGATCTTGTGGGTGTGGTGATATTAGGCGGAGCGTGTCTCGCCTCCCTGATCTTGTGGGTGTGGTGATATTATGGGGTGTGTGTCTCGCCTTCCTGATCTTGTGGGTGTGGTGATATTATGGGGTGTGTCTTGCCTCCCTGATCTCCTTGATCTTGTGGGTGTGGTGATATTATGGGGTGTGTGTCTCGCCTCCCTGATCTTGTGGGTGTGGTGATATTATGGGGTGTGTGTCTCGCCTCCTTGATCTTGTGGGTGTGGTGATATTATGGGGTGTGGGTCTCGCCTCCCTGATCTTGTGGGTGTTGTGATATTATGGGGTGTGGGTCTCACCTCCCTGATCTTGTGGGTGTGGTGATATTATGGGGTGTGTGTCTCGCCTCCCTGATCTTGTGGGTGTGGTGATATTATGGGGTGTGTGTCTCGCCTCCCTGATCTTGTGGGTGTGGTGATATTATGGGGGGTGTGTCTTGCCTCCCTGATCTTGTGGGTGTGGTGATATTATGGGGTGTGTGTCTCGCCTCCCTGATCTCCCTGATCTTGTGGGTGTGGTGATATTATGGGGTGTGGGTCTCGCCTCCCTGATCTTGTGGGTGTGGTGATATTATGGGGTGTGTGTCTCGCCTCCCTGATCTCCTTGATCTTGTGGGTATGGTGATATTAGGGGGAGTGTGTCTCGCCTCCCTGATCTTGTGGGTGTGGTGATATTAGGGGGAGTGTGTCTCGCCTCCCTGATCTTGTGGGTGTGGTGATATTATGGGGTGTGTGTCTCGCCTCCCTGATCTTGTGGGTGTGGTGATATTATGGGGGGTGTGTCTTGCCTCCCTGATCTTGTGGGTGTGGTGATATTATGGGGTGTGTGTCTCGCCTCCCTGATCTCCCTGATCTTGTGGGTGTGGTGACATTATGGGGTGTGGGTCTCGCCTCCCTGATCTTGTGGGTGTGGTGATATTATGGGGTGTGTGTCTCGCCTCCCTGATCTCCTTGATCTTGTGGGTATGGTGATATTAGGGGGAGTGTGTCTCGCCTCCCTGATCTTGTGGGTGTGGTGATATTATGGGGTGTGTGTCTCGCCTCCCTGATCTCCTAGATCTCGTGGGTATGGTGATATTATGGGGTGTGTGTCTCGCCTCCCTGATCTCCTAGATCTTGTGGGTATGGTGATATTATGGGGTGTGTGTCTCGCCTCCCTGATCTCCTTGATCTTGTGGGTATGGTGATATTATGGGGTGTGTGTCTCGCCTCCCTGATCTCCTTGATCTTGTGGGTATGGTTATATTATGGGGTGTGTGTCTCACCTCCCTGATCTCCTTGATCTTGCAGCCGCCCTTGCCGATGAGCGAGCCGCACTGGCTGGCCGGCACCACGATCCGCAGCGTCACCGGGGGCTTGGAGGTGGCCGTGCTGTTGGACATGGAGCTGCTGATGTCCTAGAACACACACACACACACACATTAGCGGCGCACAGACACACACACAGTGCCTCAGTGTGAGCGAGCCGTACCTCCTCCAGCTTCTCGATGATCATGGAGAAGGCCTTGAAGATGGCGGTGGTGGGGCCAGCGAGCGTGATAATGCGTTCGGGACAGTTCCCCTCAGATATGTTGATCCGCGCACCGCTCTGCACACACACACACACACACACACATCAATATCTAGGGCTAACACTAGTGGCTATTTTAGAGATTGAGAAATCAGATTAAAAAAAGTGGTAATAAAAATAGATCCAAGTGAACAACAGCCTTTAAAATGACTTAAAATACAAAAATATGATAAGCAATAATAATTGGTTCAAGTTAATAGTTAAAGTAAGTAATCATATGGGTTCAAGCACTTCAACGAACCCTGTTAAAACCCATTTGAAAAGTAATGTATTACGATATTGTGTCAGGCCCTTAAAAAGTAATTGTGTTAATTAGTTACTTTTTTAGAAAAGTAATGCGTTACTTTTGCAAGACCCCTTTACACCAAAAGTGAAACAATCCTCAGGCTGAAGGAAATGCAGATTCACGTGTGTCCAGTAGAGGACGCCACATAATCATGTGGCCCTGGACCACAAACCCGGTCACATGGGTCCATTTTCTGAAATTGAGATTTAAACATCTGAAAGCTGACTATATAAGCTTCCCAGTGATGTATGGTTAGATAGGATATGACAATATTTGGCAGAGATGCAACTGTTTGAAAATCTGGATCTGAGGGTGCAAAAAAAATCTAAACATTGATAAAATCGCCTTTCCATATATGTTGGCGATTGTGCTGCATCCACTCACAAAAATAAATGTTTTATATATTTACAGTAGGAAATTTAAAAAATATCTTCATGGAACAAGATCTTTACTTAATATCCTAATGATTTTTGGAATAAAAGAAAAACGGATAATTTTGACCTGTACAGAGTATTGTTGGCTATTGCCACAGACACACCCGTGCGACATGTGACTGGGTTTGTGGTCCAGGGTGACACATGGGTTTTATTGAACAAATAAATTATATAAACATAAATGATGGTCGTTACGCATTATAACGAATGGCTGCAGAGGTGTTAGCTGTTGCTGCACTACGGCATGAGCAAATCCTTGTGTAATATCGACCAAACAACATGTATTCAAATGTCCACGTAATCTTTAATATTTGGTCACTTCTGTACGACAGAAATGCATCAGCCGCTGTATTGTTTAATATTTAGAAATATATTTATGTATTCTCCTGTGTTGGTGTAGATTGATTTACAAACGAGTTACGTTACACATCTTGCTCCCAGATAAACATAAGTAAGCTAAACTCACAGCAGAGTGTGTGTGAGCAGCGTTTACTGGGAAGAGCTGAGGGACTTATCTCCACGCATGTAAATTAAAGGTTTGTGCTTTAAAACAGTGCATATATTTATGTACCTGAATCGCAGCCTTTGTGATTTGACAATAGCAGCATTATGACTGTAAATGGTTTGTATATATCGCGTAGCCTTAGTGAGCGGTGTAATAATGCGGCTCGTGGATTCACGCACGTGGAACGGTTACTCGACACGGGTAAATTACATCGGAGACTTTAATGTAGGCATAACATTAAACAGCAGATCTCACCTCCTCTCGCATCTTCTTCACCGATTCACCTTTCTGCAACACACACACATCAATGAGAAACAGGTTAGACCAGTATTAGTATTCTAAACTTGGAATTATATTGTTTAAGCATCAAAATATTGTTCATGATAGTAAACATGAGTGTGTGGCTTCCTGTGGTGTGTGTGAATGACCTGTAATCACAGAAACAACAGCACACGTATTCCCTCACAGCCTGAGATGTAGGGTGTGTGCGCTTGTATGTATTCTGAATTTTTTTTTAAAAAGCCAATAAAATAACCACACTATTGTTTAATAGTTTAATATTTAATTTATTATTGGGTCCGCTGGCGAATCAGAGCGCTCTGAGCTTTCGGAAGGAGGGGCTTCGTAGAGTCAGAGTGTTTCAGACAGGCGGGGAATAGAGGAGATACAATAACGCATGTGTGTGAAAGAATAGTGTTCTTTTTAACATTAAAGTCCCACTCCGATCATATTTTGAGCTATTTTTAAACATTCCCAGTGGTCTTTAAATTATGATTATGCCATTTTTAGCCAAAATCACAAAACCTGTGCCGTTTTCTGGGACTTTGCTTCAGCAGAGCGGCAGTAGCTCATTAGCAATTCGCCTCTGCGTTGTGGGCGGAGCCGTTGGCACGGAGACGCCCCTCCCCCTGCCCGTTGCTGAGAGCTCTGTCTCTCCCGCTAGCTTACACCCCCAATACCGGTGGGGCAACAGTATTATATACACGTTAATTATTATTATCCGAAGTTAATCAAAGTTATCACCGATCACCGATCATTATTTCACTCCAAGACGTCGCGTGTGGAGACGCCCAGTGGAGTTACTACGTCACAACTCCAGTCGATTTTAGCCGGCATTTTAGCGTCTGCTACTGATTCACAGCCATTTGAATGTAGAAATACTCAGAAATACAACTTTGAGCTTATTTTTCTCAAGATATGTCCTCTAACATCAGAAAAATGCCACAAGAACATGTTAACACCTAGAAAAACATTATTTTCATCGGAGTGGGTCTTTAAAGCACGTCAACCTACTCTGTTAAACTAGCATCATATGTACGGTGGCCCAGTAGTGCACAACACACATTTATTCATTACCTGACACAAATGGAGCTCCTCTTCAATAAATGCGGTGCTTCGGGGTTTGTTAGATGTGAATGAGACGAGGGATTTAACCCTTGAAGTTTCTACACATGCAGCTGTACACTGGTGCTAATGGACTAACCCTCGTGTTCAACAGTTTTTACTGAACCAATATATCTTTCTGACCCCTTAAGAGGCGTGTGTGAGAGTCGTTCCTGAACCGTGTGTCTAACCGTTAACATGCAGGGTTACACTAGTGCCAGAGGACTAATGAAGCAGTTTTACACCAATGTCTTTCATGGACCTTTGCACACATTACTGTTGAGTTACTTTCCCAGCGCTGTTTCTCACAGCCGCGTAAATGCTGAAGCTTGGGCTTTACACTAAAGCTAGCGGTCTAACAGCATCACTTATTTTAGACCGCTTTCACTGTACCAGACTGCTTTATGAATGCTTTAAAAAACTGGTACTACAGTAAATTATCCAAAATGTGGATTCGTTTGACCATTGATGGTGTAAAGTCGTCAGCTTTAGCGAGTGTTTCCGTCGTGTTGTGCACTCTTAGGCCACTTTAAGTGTGTGTTACGACTGCAATGACAATAGTCAAGTTTCTCAGTGGTGATTCTGATTGCTCTGACTTGATGTATTCAATTAAAAGTGATTAGAAAATTATTCATACAAGTTACGAAAGTGATCTCTACTGCGCTAATCTGGTGTCGACCGCATGATTATCATTCCTGCGAAGCCTCACACACACTGACAGCTGAAGCTCCTTACACACACACACACTAGGGGAATCTGTAGAAAGCCCACGACTCGATATTTTCATTTAAAATCATTACATCACATTATTAAACATTTAGAAAAACGATTTTTGAAATTTGTGAATCGGCGAAAGACAGAATCGCGATTCATATGTGAATCTATTTCCCAATCCCTAATATAAGCCATCAGACACGACTAACACCTCGACGCCTGAGGACACGAGCGCTCTCCGCAGATACACACGTGTGCTGAGAGTGTGTGTGTACTCAGGGCTGTGGTGTGTGTGTGTGTGTGTACTCAGGTGTGTGTGTGTACTCCGGTGTGTGTGTGTGTACTCAGGTGTGTGTGTGTGTGTGTACTCCGGGCTGTTCTCACAGACACACCTTCCCGATGATGCTGCCCACTTCTTTGCCATACATGAGCAGTCTGATGGTGAGCATGTGTGTATTCAGGGCTATGGTGTGTGTGTGTGTGTACTCAGGGCTAAGGGGTGTGTGTGTGTGTGTGTGTGTGTGTGTGTACACACCTTCCCGATGATGCTGCCCACTTCTTTGCCGTGCATGAGCAGTCTGATGGTGAGCGTGACGTTGAGTCCTCCTTCAATCACACCAGAGTCCATGATGATCAGTGAGGCGAGCTCGGGGTCTTTGGTCAAGGATGAGAAACCTGTCGTAAAACACACACACACTCATAAAACACTCACTTCATCTCACCAGCTCAGTGTCTGGAAGCGTATTCACACTGCAGATCATCTACACTGAGCTTCACAGAACACCACAGTACATGCTAGAGTTCAATGAATCAGAGTAAAAACACACTCTAGAATAAACACACCATTAAATGGCGCTATTTTGCAGGTTTATTTTCATATGCAGCTTATTCCGAGAAACATGAATTCGTGTTTACGTAAAAAACTCATCTGAGCCATATGGCTATAGCTGTAGACATGAAGATATTCCGAGTATTCGTGTAAATAATGTGGTAAATGCTCGGATTGTCGATATAAACACGCCATGTATCGCGTGTGGTAATGAATCAGTGCCGAAGCTGCGTTAGCTTTAGCTCGAGTGTGTTTACTAGCTGCGTACCAGCGCGCAACACCGCCACACGACCACGAACACGACACACACCCGTTTCATTTGCATCTAGAGCGTTTATTAGCAGATGTACACTACACACTGCTGTGCTCAGTGTGGGGATATCACCCGACGCCGCGTGAGAAGTGCGCAGGCTGGCTAGCACGAGCGCTAAGGCTAGCGCGCGGCCTGCAGGCCCGTGGCGCGCACGGAGCGCGGTAAAGCCTCACCTGACGCGCGCGCTCCGGGATGGGGAGAGGGTCCGAGGGTCCGGAGGGTGAGAGGGGAAGGTTCGGGAGGTTCGGGGGGAGTTTTGAGAGGATTCGGGGAAGAGGGAAGACACGGCTGCGTGATCGAGCTCCACTCTTACAAAGACAACAAGATGTGTCCCGATCAACCTCTCACCCACGACCTTTCTGACGTCAGCGGCTCGGCCACGCCCCTCGCGCACGCGCACCGAGCACTGCGCGCAGAATACACTGCGACAACACACACTACATGTCGTTTTCTAGTGAAATATAAAATAGTTTTGCTCAGTTCTTGTTCGTTTTCAAAGTAGACTTATAGGTGACGTCATACGTTTACATACACCTCGCGAAATCACTATGGTTTCTGATACCACGACAAATAGTTTTCCCCTCAGATTTAAGGGTTGCACATCTTAAAGGGACAGTTCACCCACAAATGATGATCATTTACTCACCCTCGAGTTGTACCAAACCTGTATGAGTTTCTTTCTTCTGTTGAACACAAAAGAAGATATTTTGAAGAATGTTGGTAACCAGACAGTTGATGGTGCACATTGACTTCCATGGTATTTGTTTCCTACTGTGGAAGTAAATGGCTACCGTCAACCATTTGATTGAGGAAAAAGCAATATGATGTGTATCATCTTGAGGGCAGGTGCACTCTTATGAAAATGTAAAAACACTTCCTTTTGGTGTTGATTACATATGCCATGTGAACTTTCTTCTGTTGTTTGTCCATATTTAGATATTATTATTAACAGACTCGAGGGGTTGTTGCCAAAATACAACATAATAGCCAGATCTGTTGCACCAACCCGTCCACCAGCTATATCTCCTCATCCAGCTAATAATCAGTCGCATCAGCGTGTAAGAACCTTCTTTAGTCGATATCATAGGCATAGTTCATTAAAAAAAAATTCATTATTTAGCCTACTCTCTCATATTTTAAAATGAATATGAATATTTATTGCAAGCTTGTTGCCTTTTATTGCACAGGTTGAAGTCCACAGAAAATGAAACATCACAAAAGAGAGATCCCAGGCGTGTGGGAGAGGAGGGAGAACAGACCTGCAGTGGCTGTTTCTGGGAGGAGACGCACATGGCCTATCTTTATATGTACTTTAAAAAAAAAAAATTCTTAATGCCAAAGTATCAAACATATAAGTATATAGCGCACATGCCTATCAGGTAAACCTGGCAATGCGATCACAACCCAAGCCAATCTTGGAGCAAGTTAAAGTGGAACTTATTTTAGGTAAGAGGTTAACAAGTGTTATCAAAATGTATTAAAACATATGTAAAATGTATTTTAATAATCCTGATTCCTGAGTATCTCTTACATCCTCAGTCTAAATATTTTTTTATTGTTATTATTTTACAGACACTGTACAGGTCGATTCCCAGATACTCCACGTAAGTTTCCAAGGGCTTTGCTCCGGGAGAAGCTTAAAGCTGCAGTCGGCAACATTTTTTTTATCATATTCAGTGAAATCGACACTATAATCCGACAACAACATAAATAAAGTGGTTTTAGAAAAAAACCCGAGCTCTGGCATTTACAGTCAGATCTCATATTTACCGAATGTCTTAAATCGTTAAGCATGCAGGCATTCCCATTGGATGGGAATATGGAAATGATATGCAGATGAGTTTATGTAGAAACTCTAATAACCATAAATAACCATTATATGGTTATTTCGTCAGAGACGGGGAGATGCATGTTCTCAGCGGAGGAACTCGTAGCCGAAATCTGCTGTGACGCACTCCATAACCTGTCCATATGCAGTCAGTGTACAGTTCTGACAGCATACTTTAACTTTACAAGTTTATATTCTGTATCTTTTTTTGAATAAAATCATAAAATGGTATGCAAGGCATCAGCCATTTCCATGACTGACGCGACACTCGTGACTCACAGCGAGGCCCTTTATGTTGCTTTGCATAAAATGAAAACACTGATTATTTACACTGATTGGCTTCATCACTCTGTCTCCTCTCCACCAATAAGCTGGTGTGTGGTGAGCGTTCTGGCGCAATATGGCTGCCGTCGCATCATCCAAGTGGATGCTGCACATTGGTGGTGGTTGAGGAGATTCCCCCTTCCATGTGAAGCGCTTTGAGTGCCTAGAAAAGCGCTATATAAATGTAATGAATTAATTAATTAAAAGATATACAGAACAATATAGATACAAAAAAGTAACAAAAAACCGGTAACACTTTATTGTACAGTGTCCTTGTTACATATCTTACATGTACTTACCATAGTAATAACAGTAAATTATGCATAATTACATGCAACGGACACTAAATCAAATCCTAATCCTATAGTAAGTGCATGTAGTTAATTAATATTACTCCTTAAATGTATAATTACACTGTAACAATGACACCTTAAAATAAAGTGTGACCCAAAAACCTGTAGGTATTTTACCGAAGACACGCACCAATTTGACGGAGCTGCACTGCTCTCTCCTGAAGAGGGCGCAAAAAGCCTGCGATAAAATAACTCAACCCTTGGGTTGTTACGTCTGACCCAGCATCTGGGTAACACAAAAACTACCCAAACACTGACAAAATAATCCAAGAAATGGACCCAAAAGGCTCAGCCCAGGATTTGGGTAGAAAAAAATAACCCAAGATTTTTTAGAGTGAAGTATTTTAAATGGAAGAATAGATTAGTGTGCAATAGTGCACTGCAGGATTTGTAACTATTTAATGTAAAACCCCAGCTTGCCTGACCTGGGAACAGAAGCAGTTGTTGCTGTCCCAAACTAATGACTCGGGCGTCTCGGACACAATGACTTCAGTATATTGAAGCCTCACAATCTTTTGAATCAATCTGTTAGTGTTTTCCTTGTACTATATTCATACAGAGAGCACACGCTAAACCTGTTCAGAGCAAATCCCCAGCTTGAGAAAACTGAAGACTATTCAACGGCATATCTTAAAAATATGACACATACAGAAACATATTTTGCTCTATGTATTATGTGTCCGGTGTGATTAGGGTTAAGTGTTTGTAGTACTGATAAGAATATGTGTTACTGAATGAATTTGCAGCCTGTTAAAGTCCCCCTGTAGTCAATAATTGTATCCCTTAAAACTTATATTTGATCACCAAAATTACATATTTAAAAGTTTTTTCTTCATGTCTTAAAATATCTTAAATGTAACTCGACACCCTTGCCTCATTTAGTATGCGCGGGTCTATGAATGTGCAAATGAGCCCTGCCTCCACTCACTCCCTCAGCTCAGAGATCCACTGGTTGACGATCACACGTTGATCTGATTGGTTACAAGGTCGTTTGTGACGTCAGAAACACCAGCGATTTCAAACCGTGTTTTTGAGACTGTCTTTGGTTCACTGCAGTTTTAAGGAGAAAATACTCAGCAATGCTGTCGACTTATGAACTTACACATGGTGTGTCTTAAAGCATATTAATAACACCACATAGACACATAAACAACGTTAAACGCTGGATGTTCACCACAGGGTCTCTTTGTAGAGCACTTTACTCTTAATCGCCAAATTTGAAAGCTCTTGTGTGCTATTAAAATAATAATAATCTTTGCTGTTTTCAGTCCGCTGACGTAATAGTCACGCCATTTCTGTCCACATACTGTTTTAGTACAAGCTGTATCAAAACCTGCTGATCCAAGGGATTCAGCCATGAGAGTATCAGTGAGAGTGTGTGTGTTAAACAGTGGTGTTTCATTGATCGATGTCCAATGTTAGCCTCATTTGTCAGGGATATGTGCTTTGGCAGACTGCCTGCCATATCTATATCAAGAGGCTCGTTCCTGGCTGTGTGAGCATGACTTGTTCTTTTTCTTACTGTAATCTGTAAAAATAGCCAGAATCATCCTTGATGTGACTTCCATGCCTATGGTTTCACTAAAAGTTTGTTTTAGAGCAGATTTCATATTTGGGTAAGTGAGAGTAGAGAGAGTAACTGTCTTTAACATGAAGACCCGCTGTGTCTAGAAGTTTAAAGGCCAATACAGAAGTATCATACTGGCATTATTGACCTTCACCCCGATAATATGATTATCAGGATTATTATGCTGTCTCGTGGTCCGATCAAGCTCAGCGTGTGCCTCATAGTGGCAATCCTTTCCTTTTTAACAGAATCTAGTCAAGAATAGTTTTCATTCCTTCGTTCTTGTTTAAATCATCTGTGGGTATTTCAAACTCTCATGACCTCTTTTAATCAAAGCCGTCCTCTGCTACTGTCAATCCTGTATGACAAACTTCCCCGTTCCACGTCTTTATTCCCTCACGGATTCACTGTTCACTGTTAATTTTCACATATAAATGATAATAAACCATTTAATAGTCTGTTTTTGTTCACATTTTCATTTGTATTCACGAACTAGATTATGCATTTATTTATTTATAAAGAGAAAGTTAAACACAGACCATATGTCACTTTTCTGGTTTCATCATGAATGTTTGTCCAATGAATATCAATAAGCTTTGTTACTTTTGGTATGAAACAAAGTCTTAGCTTTCAAATACTGTCCATTTTATTACACAATTCAAACAATAAATACTGTTTTTGCGCTCTTTAATGTGGCGTGAGAGATCACACAGCGCCTCAGTGAACGCCATCATCTCTTCCTCTACTGCATTACAGAACGAATTAAAGATTCATTACAGGAGTCGAAAGGAGAGCGCTCTGATGGAGGCCGAGGGTGGACGCACACACACACACACACACACACGCCATCTGATGGAGGCCAAGTGTGGACGCACACACATAGACACACACGTCATCTGATGGAGGCCGAGGGTGGACGCAACATCTACAGCATCAGGAACTTTTCATCGAGTTTCTCGTGTGTGTCAGACAGACTTCACTGTGTCCGACCGCTGGCTTTATCTTCAATAAGCTGAAGATGGATCTGAGTATTGCTGGAGGAGCCATTCCTGGAGGAGCCATTCCTGGAGGAGCCATTGCTGGAAGAGCCATTGCAGGAAGAGCCATTGCTGGAGGAGCCATTCCTGGAGGAGCCATTCCTGGAGGAGCCATTGCTGGAAGAGCCATTGCAGGAAGAGCCATTGCTGGAAGAGCCATTGCTAGAGGAGCCATTCCTGGAGTAGCCATTCCTGGAGGAGCCATTGCTGGAGGAGCCATTCCTGGAGGAGCCATTCCTGGAGGAGCCATTGCTGGA